TTCACTCACCTACTTTACAGTGGAAACATTAAAATAGCTTTAATAATGCATTCACTCTCCTACTCTATAGCTTAACACATTAATATAGTTGTAATAATGCATTCTCTCACCTACTTTACAGTGAACACATTAGAATAGCTGTAATAATGCATTCACTCACCTACTGTACAGTGAACACATTAATATAGGTGTAATAATGCATTCACTCGCCTACTTTACAGTGAACACATTAATATAGCTGTAATAATGCATTCACTCTCCTACTTTATAGCGAACACATTAATATAGCTGTAATAATGCATTCTCTCACCTACTTTACAGTGAACACATTAGAATAGCTGTAATAATGCATTCTCTCACCTACTTTACAGTGAACACATTAATATAGCTGTAATAATGCATTCACTCACCTACTTTACAGCGAACACATTAATATAGCTGTCATAATGCATTCACTCACCTACTTTACAGTGAACACATTAATATAGCTGTAATAATGCATTCTCTCAACTTCTTTATAGAGAACACATTAACATAGCTGTAATAATGCATTCACTCACCTACTGTACAGTGAACACATTAGTATAGCTGTAATAATGCATTCTCTCACCTACTTTACAGTGAACACATTAGTATAGCTGTAATAATGCATACTCTCACCTGCTTTACAGTGAACACATTAGTATAGCTGTAATAATGCATTCACTCACCTACTCTACAGTGTACACATTTATATAGCTGTAATAATGCATTCACTCACCTACTGTACAGTGAACACATTAATATAGCTGTAATAATGCATTCACTCACCTACTTTATAGTGTACACATTAATATAGCTGTAAATATGCATTCACTCACCTACTGTACAGTGAACACATTAATATAGCTGTAATAATGCATTCACTCACCTACTTTACAGTGAACACATTAAAAAAGCTGTAATAATGCATTCACTCACCTACTTTACAGTGAACACATTAATAAAGCTGTAATAATGCATTCACTCACCTACTTTACAGTGAACACATTAATATAGCTGTAATAATGCATCTCTCACCTACTTTACAGTGAACACATTAATAAAGCTGTAATAATGCATTCACTCACCTACTTTACAGTGAACACATTAATATAGCTGTAATAATGCATTCACTCACCTACTTTACAGTGTACACATTAATATAGCTGTAATAATGCATTCACTCACCTACTGTACAGTGAACACATTAATATAGCTGTAATAATGCATTCACTAACCTACTGTACAGTGAATACATTAATATAGCTGTAGTAATGCATTCATTTACCTACTCTACAGTGAACACATTAATAAAGCTGTAATAATGCATTCACTCACCTACTTTACAGTGAACACATTAATATAGCTGTAATAATGCATTCACTCACCTACTTTACAGTGAACACATTTATATAGCTGTAATAATGCATTCACTCACCTACTTTACAGTGAACACATTAATAAAGCTGTAATAATGCATTCACTCACCTACTTTACAGTGAACACATTAATATAGCTGTAATAATGCATTCACTCACCTACTTTAAAGCGAACACATTAATATAGCTGTAATTATGCATTCTCTCCCCTACTTTATAGCGAACACATTAATATAGCTGTAATAATGCATTCACTCACCTACTTTATAGCGAAGACATTAATATAGCTGTAATAATGCATTCACTCACCTACTTTACAGTGGAAACATTAATATAGCTGTAATAATGCATTCACTCTCCTACTTTATAGCCTTAACACATTAATATAGCTGTAATAATGCATTCACTCACCTACTTTACAGTGAACACATTAGAATAGCTGTAATAATGCATTCACTCACCTACTGTACAGTGAACACATTATTATAGCTGTAATAATGCATTCACTCTCCTCCTACTTTATAGCCTGAACACATTAATATAGCTGTAATAATGCATTCTCTCACCCTACTGTACAGTGAACACATTAATATAGCTGTAGTAATGCATTCACTCACCTACTGTACAGTGAACACATTAGTATAGCTGTAATAATGCATTCTCTCACCTACTTTACAGTGAACACATTAGTATAGCTGTAATAATGCATTCACTCACCTACTTTACAGTGAACACATTAATATAGCTGTAATAATGCATTCACTCACCTACTTTAAAGCGAACACATTAATATAGCTGTAATTATGCATTCACTCACCTACTTTACAGTGAACACATTTATATAGCTGTAATAATGCATTCACTAACCTACTGTACAGTGAAAACATTAGTATAGCTGTAATAATGCATTCACTCACCTACTGTACAGTGAACACATTAATAAAGCTGTAATAATGCATTCTCTCACCTTCTTTATAGCGAACACATTAATATAGCTGTAATAATGCATTCACTCACCTACTTTATAGCTTAACACATTAATATAGCTGTAATAATGCATTCACTCACCTACTTTACAGTGGAAACATTAAAATAGCTGTAATAATGCATTCACTCTCCTACTCTATAGCGAACACATTAGAATAGCTGTAATAATGCATTCTCTCACCTACTTTACAGTGAACACATTAGAATAGCTGTAATAATGCATTCACTCACCTACTGTACAGTGAACACATTAATATAGGTGTAATAATGCATTCACTCACCTACTTTACAGTGAACACATTAATATAGCTGTAATAATGCATTCTCTCACCTACTTTACAGTGAACACATTAGAATAGCTGTAATAATGCATTCTCTCACCTACTTTACAGTGAACACATTAATATAGCTGTAATAATGCATTCTCTCACCTACTTTACAGTGAACACATTAATATAGCTGTAGTAATGCATTCACTCACCTACTGTACAGTGAACACATTAGTATAGCTGTAATAATGCATTCTGTCACCTACTTTACAGTGAACACATTAGTATAGCTGTAATAATGCTTTCACTCACCTACTTTACAGTGAACACATTAATATAGCTGTAATAATGCATTCTCTCAACTTCTTTATAGAGAACACATTAACATAGCTGTAATAATGCATTCACTCACCTACTGTACAGTGAACACATTAGTATAGCTGTAATAATGCATTCACTCACCTACTGTACAGTGAACACATTAATAAAGCTGTAATAATGCATTCTCTCACCTTCTTTATAGCGAACACATTAATATAGCTGTAATAATGCATTCACTCACCTACTTTATAGCGAACACATTAATATAGCTGTAATAATGCATTCACTCACCTACTTTACAGTGGAAACATTAAAATAGCTTTAATAATGCATTCACTCTCCTACTCTATAGCGAACACATTAATATAGCTGTAATAATGCATTCTCTCACCTACTTTACAGTGAACACATTAGAATAGCTGTAATAATGCATTCACTCACCTACTGTACAGTGAACACATTAATATAGGTGTAATAATGCATTCACTCGCCTACTTTACAGTGAACACATTAATATAGCTGTAATAATGCATTCACTCTCCTACTTTATAGCGAACACATTAATATAGCTGTAATAATGCATTCTCTCACCTACTTTACAGTGAACACATTAGAATAGCTGTAATAATGCATTCTCTCACCTACTTTACAGTGAACACATTAATATAGCTGTAATAATGCATTCACTCACCTACTTTACAGCGAACACATTAATATAGCTGTCATAATGCATTCACTCACCTACTTTACAGTGAACACATTAATATAGCTGTAATAATGCATTCTCTCACCTACTTTATAGAGAACACATTAACATAGCTGTAATAATGCATTCACTCACCTACTGTACAGTGAACACATTAGTATAGCTGTAATAATGCATTCTCTCACCTACTTTACAGTGAACACATTAGTATAGCTGTAATAATGCATACTCTCACCTGCTTTACAGTGAACACATTAGTATAGCTGTAATAATGCATTCACTCACCTACTCTACAGTGTACACATTTATATAGCTGTAATAATGCATTCACTCACCTACTGTACAGTGAACACATTAATATAGCTGTAATAATGCATTCACTCACCTACTTTATAGTGTACACATTAATATAGCTGTAATTATGCATTCACTCACCTACTGTACAGTGAACACATTAATATAGCTGTAATAATGCATTCACTCACCTACTTTACAGTGAACACATTAAAAAGCTGTAATAATGCATTCACTCACCTACTTTACAGTGAACACATTAATAAAGCTGTAATAATGCATTCACTCACCTACTTTACAGTGAACACATTAATATAGCTGTAATAATGCATCTCTCACCTACTTTACAGTGAACACATTAATAAAGCTGTAATAATGCATTCACTCACCTACTTTACAGTGAACACATTAATATAGCTGTAATAATGCATTCACTCACCTACTTTACAGTGTACACATTAATATAGCTGTAATAATGCATTCACTCACCTACTGTACAGTGAACACATTAATATAGCTGTAATAATGCATTCACTAACCTACTGTACAGTGAACACATTAATATAGCTGTAATAATGCATTCACTCACCTACTTTATAGTGTACACATTAATATAGCTGTAATTATGCATTCACTCACCTACTGTACAGTGAACACATTAATATAGCTGTAATAATGCATTCACTCACCTACTTTACAGTGAACACATTAAAAAAGCTGTAATAATGCATTCACTCACCTACTTTACAGTGAACACATTAATAAAGCTGTAATAATGCATTCACTCACCTACTTTACAGTGAACACATTAATAAAGCTGTAATAATGCATTCACTCACCTACTTTACAGTGAACACATTAATAAAGCTGTAATAATGCATTCACTCACCTACTTTACAGTGAACACATTAATAAAGCTGTAATAATGCATTCACTCACTGCCTGAACAGGCTGCTATAGCTGTAATACTGACTATATATTACTCTTTGATATTATTTGAATTGAAAATTGTTTTGATAACAGGTTCATTCAAAAAAGATGCGGATGGCGGTATCTGTCAAGACTGCCCAGATGGGTCGTACAATACCTCCAGTGGTGCAACTGTGTGTACCGAGTGTCCAAAGGGGTTCTTCTGTCCAGTAAGTTTGTCTCAGATGGGTTGGTGTAATCAGGGATTGCCAGGCAAACATGAGACTGTAGTGTGTTGTTCCATTCTTATTGAGTGAGTGAGTTAAGTTTTACTTCGCACTCAGAAATATTCCAGCTATATGGCGGCAGTCTGTAAATAATGGAGTCTGGACTAGACAATACAGTGATCAACAGCATGAACATTGATCTACGCAATTGGGATACAATGGCATGTGTCAACCAATCAGCGAGCCTGACCACCTGATCCTGTTAGTCGCCTCTTGCGACAAGCACGAGTTACTGAAGATCAATTCTTACCTGGATCTTCATGGGTCATTCTTATTGTATTCCACATTGGCTTGTCAGGCGCTAGCCTGGATATAGTGTTCCTTGCATGTAGTGTTGACATTAGGGCTGTGCAATATAACCGGTTTACTGGTATTTAAGGGTTCAGACATGAAAACGATACGTATTGCGATACACTGATCTAAAACCAGTATTTTGATTTGCATTCGGAAAACTTCGTAACACTCGGAAATCTTCGGATATTTCTTGTGTCATTTGTGCCAAATATTACTCACATTTATATTTTATCATGATGAAAAGTTGTTATTAAAGCTTAATCAAGCATAGTGATTTTGCTGTGTATTTGCTCTATAAATCAAGCATTAACTCGATTATAAGTAGTTTTTTGTTTAAAAATACTTCATGCAATATACTGCAATACATATCGCAATACATGCTTTCACATCGCAATATATCGCAATATGAAAATCCTCTGTAATACCCACCCCTAGTTGACATGCTTGTACCTTGTATAGGATTCCCTTTGAATATTGGGTGGTCTTGGAATGGTTCCCATCACTTATTGGGTGATCTTTGAACTTGTGTTTATATTTTTAGCTATGAAAATATATCTATCAGAACATTGTTTATCTGTTTCAGCAAAATGACCGTCTGCCACAGGCTTGCCCCCAGAACTCCTTCTGCCCGCCGGGGAGCACGTCCCCCCACAGCTGTAATCCCCCTCTCTATGTGATAGATGGCAGCGGTACAGGCTGTAAACCTACCGGAGAGTTGATGGCCATAATAGGAGGCTGTAGTGCAGGTGGGCTTTCACAATGTAGCAAGTCATGTGTAAACCTGGAACAAATAGGAATTCAACTAGTAGGCATTCAGCGATGTAGCAAATTGTAATCATTGAAGAATTAGGAATTCAACTGGTAGGTATTGAAGAAATAGAAATTACACATATAGGCATTCAAGGAAATAGGAAATCCACAGATAGGCATTGAAGAAATAAGAACTCCACATATAGCAGGAGATTGTAATGCAGGTATGGACTGAATAAAAGGGAATCGTAGTGCTGGTAAGGACTCAATAAAAGGAGATTGTAGTGAGGGTAAGCACGGGAGTATATGGGATGTTGTAGTAAGTGTAAAACTCAAATATGGATAATGTGCATACTGTGTTTTTATTTTTGTCAAATTTATGATAGATAAACGAAAATACCCAGGCTAGTAGTTATGAATTAGAATTTAGGTAACCTCACCTGAAATAATGTGTTGATTGCATTCCAGTTGCTGTGGTAGTTGTTCTCATTGTAAGTGTACAGTGCTACTTCAAGTGGAAGAAACAGAGAACGCTGATGCCAGCCGGAGAAAGTGAACCCTTGACTAGGTCAACACAACCAGTGTATCAGGGCTTGTAGCAGGACAGGGGAGATAAGTCTTGTAAAGCCCTGACAGCGTCAGTGCAACCAGTGTATCAGTGTTTGTAGTGCGACAGGGGAGATAATTCTGTAAACCCCTGACAATGTCAGTGCAACCAGTTTGTCAGTGCTTGCAGTAGGACAGGGGAGATAATTCTGTAAACCCCTGACAATGTCAGTGCAACCAGTTTGTCAGTGCTTGCAGTAGGACAGGGGAGATAATTCTGTAAACCCCTGACAGCGTCAGTGCAACCAGTTTGTCAGTGCTTGCAGTAGGACAGGGGAGATAATTCTGTAAACCCCTGACAATGTCAGTGCAGCCAGTTTGTCAGTGCTTGCATTAGGACAGGGGAGATAATTCTCTCACGCCCTGATAACAGGGGAGATAGTTCTGATGACAGATGCTGTACAGAGAGTTCACCTGCTGTACAGTTGAAAGACAACCAGAGACCCTATAACAGACTCTAAGACAACTAGCAATGGCAAGTTAGTCAGTGATATTGGCAATAATTGTTCTTCATAACCAACTACAAGTGCCGCACGACAGTATTGAGAGACACAGAGCAGCTGGCAATGTGGAGACCTCCTCAGTGATACAGGATAGTGGCTACAGGACACTGTTTGAGTACTATTGACTGCATCATGCCAGGTCTTGGGATTCAGTGCTTTCATTCTGTTGGTTGTTGAATGATATGTGTTATGGTGGCTACACTATCATGGCCAAAATGTAGCAGCAGATTCTAATTTATAATTGTGCCATTTTTCATGTCATTTATATAACTTTCAGAGTTATATCATTTCTAGCACTTCATATCTACTTATCTGATGTATGATTATGGAGTTATACTGTTAGATTCACATGTATTTATGGCTGTGATTATTGAGAGTTTGCTCGATGTTGTAAAGAAAACCCACAGGGTTGATTATAAACTGGACTGGACCTTGTAACATTCCTTGTGACTGAAATCCAAAAGGTCACATATGACATTGTGCTGCCTGGGTCTATCATGTTATAGTTCATACCAGATGGGGAGGTCATGTGCATAACCATTATCACTGTAGCCCTCTTTCGTCACAAGCGAATGTCTGCAGCTGCTTTGCTGTGTAGTCTGTATGTTGAACTGGGGCGGTTGGGTAGCCTAGTGGTTATAGCGTTTGCTCGTCTAGCCGAAGGCCCGGGTTCGATTCCCCACACGGGTACAATGTGTGAAGCCCATTTCTGGTGTCCCCTGCCGTGATATTGCTGAAATATTGCTAAAAATGGTGTAACACCCAAGTCACTCACTCTATTTTGAACTGAAGCCATGGTCTGGATACAGAAAAAGGGAACAGCAAATGATCAGATCAATGAACCCTTGCATTACATTGCACAACTCGTATTTCGTGTGCAACATTTGCTACAGCGTTGAGGCCATTTCCCCCACTTCTGTGAGTTGCACATGGCCCCCATGTTTGAAAAACAGTAAGAATAAGAATAATAATAATAAGAGCTATATTTAAAATTTCATGATGTATATTATTTTCACCCTGGTTAATTATTTATATTCTCAGCTCCCTGGGGGGAATAGAACCCATGCTGCCTGTGAGGCTGTAGGATGTTAGCAGCATATTGCCGTCTGGGTCAACACAGTCATGTTGAGAGAAAACAAAGTCCCTCGCCTAAAGAAACTACATTTAGAACAGGTGCTTCCCATTTGGGCTGTAGGTGTTCAGGGGCGACGGAGGAATGTAGTGTGTACAAATACACTTAAAACTTGACGATAACAATTAAGGCTAATTTTTGACAAGACATGTTTTTGAAATGTTTATGATTGTGTATGTTTTAGATGTAAAATTCATGTTATAGTTTTGTTATTGCAAAGCAAACCTTGAGACTGCAAGTCAAGTTATCAAAGTGTAATTACTGCTGGCAGTGAACGAAGCTCTCGCCTCACTGGTCGCCGAGATGATTTATAAGATGGGGCAACTATGAACTGCAATTTGAGTCAGCCTTCAAATAAAGGGTCACACACCTGTCAAAGATCAGCCCAGTATAACATAATGGTGAATGACTGCTCAGCTGAACAATAACGTGAGTAAGGTCAGCTTTGAGCAGTGAAATGGTGTCAAGGAGTATGATTTTCAAATCTGACTGATATTAATAAAAACTATACATTTTGAAATATTGATGCGTGATATGTATTTTGAGTGAGAATATTGTGCTACTCCAGATTGAGATGGTGTATATTATGTGTTGATAAGATTGAACCACAAGGAAACCGTATTTTCATGACTTATTAAGAGGAAGTGAAAGAACAATGGCTTTTTAATAAGGCTACAATTAATCTTTCATTTCCTGCAGTCATATAATAAAAAGGGCTATTTTTAATGTATTTTGAGAAGTACGTACTGTTGTTTGGCCCTAGGTTGAAGAGCTTGAATTCATGGTGTTGATTGATGCTTGAGAAACAACAATATTTTGGCTTGAATCATATCAGTCTCAACCTGATTTTATGTTGCAGCATAATATGTCATGTGTTAGATTTGACCTTGATTCCACTAGTGTAACTTAAACACAGGCCTGATCTCAGTGATGCTGGTCACCTTTGTTCGCTTATTATCATTCTCAGGGAAAGTCCTGAAAATCAAAATGTCAAAATGTTATGCTGGGGACAACTGTCAGTAGTCTTGTTTGTATCCTATGATTGTAAGTGTTTCCACTCTGATCCAGTGAGGCACAAGACTAATGCCCCTCAGTCAGTTGTCTCCCTTAAACTACAAGGACAAGGGGATAACACAGCCTTTACAGTCCGTTTGGCTAAAAAGCGGACCGATGAATTGCAATCTAACTCGAAAACTAATAAACTCGAAAACTAATAAACTTTGTCTGTAAATGTGCTTCTCAACACCTGGCTGTCCCTTTCTCTGCACTTCTCCCTCGTAACAAATAGAGAACTGTATCAATATTTTAATGATAGATTGTTAAACAATTTTTATTTTAGGACAAAATTCTGCAAAACATCCCAGAGTGGGTATGATGTTTTGATTATGATCAGCGTTTCATTGAGTATTTTATGTTTATTAGTTTTCGAGTTAGATTGCAATTTATCGGTCCGCTTTTGAGCCAAACGGACTATAGTCAGAGTGTTGAAGTGATAAAGCAGCTTTTTGTGAGAGGGTTGATGAGATGACAGCCATTTGTCAGAGTGTCAGTAGCATCCTAAATTTGGATATTGTTATTAATATTACATTCAAGGTTAGATGGATGATGAAAACATCAGTTGTTGGCATATTTATAAAGTTAGGGAAAGATGAAACCTCAGAAAATAGGTAATCATACTGATTTTATTATAACAGTACTATCCGTTCTTCTAAGATAACACGTTGATTGTATAAAGATTTATCTTTGTAATGTGGCATTGTGTGTATGTAGTGCAGTTTCTGGGATTTGAAATGTTCTGCACCCTGAACATGACAGGTACTCGGAAGGTCGTTGGTTTTTGTGACGTCCACATATCCAAAGGCTTCATCCAAGTCCTCCATTCCACAAGTAACCATTATGTTAAATGACCAGCCTTCAGTGTCACAAAAGTGTTGAAGTCTTTCAAAGGGTAATTGAGAAGTGCTAACAAGGGACACAACTCGTATCAGAAAACTTGCACATACAGTCACAAGTGAGCATATCTTTCTGTGAAAATGAACTCTTTGGTATAGGCTAAGCCATTTAGCACTAACAGATTAACAATATTTATATTGAACGATCAAGTTTCCATTAACCTTTTTTCAGAAGAACCTGTGTAAGACACAGGATGTAGCTGTCACCAAAGTCCAGATGTAAGACATGTCTGCTGTCAGTGCTGGGTTAGAACCAACCAATTGAATAACCCCATTAATGTTTTTTAGTTATGTGTATATCACAAGTTATACCATGCTGGTTATGGTACATACAGATAGCCATTGGTGTATTCTTGCTGCCAAGATGTGTAAACGAGGTTTGAGGTGTTTTATCATGGTAGAGGGTGAATATTTTAATCATATCTTATAATGAAGATCTCCCTTTCTATCAGTTCACCTGGGCTGTGGACATAGAATGTCTGACCAGGTGAGTTACTGTAATGTTGGCTCTATGTGTAGTGCTTTGTTCCATTCCAGTAACTTCTTTGATATGTGTGTAAAAGCATGTTTTTACTTTGTAAAGGAAATGCTGAATCATGTATCCGATTTTCCATCCTTTTTTAATTGACTTTGCAGAGTCATGTCCCTTGAATGTTTACAAAATTAGCTGACAAAAGGTGCTTGTATCAGATTCAATAGAAATGATTGATTTAGATTCATGCTGATGTGTTATACAAATACTCATGATGCAGATGGACAAAACATGTATAGCCAGAATGTCCAATAACACTTTTACCAGGATTCATGTGGTAATTTGCCTGGACACATTTGGTAATTTATCTGGGTTGGTTTGGTATTTTACCCAGGATACTGATTTAGTCTCTGAAGCATTATCATTTGAAAGGATAAGTTTTCTTATTAAATGTTCCATAAAACAAGTCGGCTGCCTTGAAATCCTGAAGTGTTTTAGGTAAAGATTCATCTGCAGACAATTTGCAGAAAATCACAATTTTACAGAGGAGATTTCATTGTACCTAAAACCTGTTAATCTGGAAAGGTGTTGATCTGGTGGATTTGTCCAGATTAACAAGGTTTCTGTGTACATTGTATTACAGATGATTATTGAAATAATATTTTGCTTTTATTAGTATGCACACCATATTATCTATTCTGTCCATAAACACAAACATATTGGCAAAAACCTTAAAAGAAATTGCTTAGTCAGCCAATCAGCTGCCACAGAATCACCTGGGATTTCTATATTACCTGGTGACTGAGATTGTGTACATAGCTTACCTGCGGGGTCAGGTGGTGACGCAGCAAGACCATGACCTAACAATAACCAGGAACTACAAGGAATACCATGTCATGAGTGTACACTTATTCTCTGAGAAGCAATCTTTACTGATGTAGTTGTCTTGACGACAGAGCTGAGATATTGATGTTTTGTTTTACTGCATTAGTCGTATCATCATTTTGGAAAGTCCCAAATTGTGTTTGGTTAAAATGGTTAGCATTGAAATGTAAATGCTTAGGCTATCACTGTGTTTTGTCAAAGATTGTATGATGTCTTGATCGCTTGTTAAATCTTGTTACGGTAAGCCCCACGAAGAAGCCTGCTCTGTATTGGGAGTAACAAACATTTTGGTAGTGTACAGATCCCATGTTTAAGATGTCTCTATAGTTACAAACCGTGGTTAAATTATACCTTTATGCAGGATTTCAACACCAAAAGTACAGTTCTTCCACTGACAAGCTGTACCATTATACAGACGATGCAGGCCACATGCTTGGATACATGTATATTCATGGTCCATTTGGGATGCAGCTTTCCGTCCTGTCAAGTTGATCAGTTCCAGCCTCAAGGTCTGCGTAGTGTAGCATTGGGCTCAAGTAAATGCTGAGTAAGCATGTTTCTCCCAAGGCTATGTGCCATTACAGGCTGCTGGTATGTGTTTGGAGTGAAAAACTAACACATTTACACTTGCAAGAAGTCTGTAGATAGGTTTTGGTTTCCTGGCAATGTCTTTTGAATAATTGGTGTGTGGTGTAAACAAGTGTGCTATCTTGGCTTCGCCAATATTTGTTATCTTTTGTTTTATTCCTGAAAAATCATTGTATTAAGTTAAGACAAGTTGGAGTATGTTTTTAGTGTGAAAGAAGCATGGTATGATTATGATAGAATTATGATGTGAGGTCACCCAATATATGGTCTCATTTGAAAGATAACTTATTAGCTGGTCTGGCATGTAGCAGATGGTAGACGCATCACCTTGCCTGCCGGCAGTCAGCATCATGACGGGAGGTCTCCTGTGTTGGGCAACAGTCACTTGTACACATTGTGCCTGACAGCCGCTGCCCCAGGGGCAGAACATGCCTACCCTTGTCGCAAGCACATACTGTCATCACTGGTTTTCAGTGATCCAGTCGTGCAATTTTAACCTGTTTTTCATTTGGCACCCAATCAATTCTGTTTTGGTCAGTAATCGTGACTGATTATTTTGTGATGTTCACGTGTGATGTTTATATTCACTGATTTTGACATTGAGAATTGGGGAAACCCACAATTTTATGGATAGTAGGTAGGTGGAAAACTTGATTACAGTGAAAGGATCATTTTTGTGAAGTTATACTATCGTAACACTTGTAATATTCTGCTAGTGTTCTGTCAGAGAATCAATAGTTTACTGAAGGTTGTCAGTCAGCTCTGATCCATGCTTTGAGGGGCGGTGGGGTAGCCTAGTGGTTAAAGTGTTCACTCATCACACGGAGGACCCGGGTTCGATTCCCCACATGATAACAATGTGTGAAACCCATTTCTGGTGTCCTCTGTCGTGATATTGCCGGAATATTGCTAAAAGCGGCGTAAAACTAAACTCACTCACTCAGTCATTGTCTCTTAACTGTTTGTGTGTGTGTGGCCCAGGAGAATATCAGTGTGCATGAAATGCCAGTGCAGGATACCTGACTGTCACTTATAACTGAAGGGGATGTTGATACAGTCCATATGATGTAAGAACTATCTTCTGTTGGAAACCAGTTGACAATTTCTATGCAAAGTTGCGCCCTTCATGTGTGCCTAAGTATAGGCTTGGTTTGAATCCTTGTCCACCCAAATATGTTTCACTCTAGTGGTAACACCTGCATCACTAGAATTTCTTGAACAATGGGGCAACTTCTTTATTTCAATATATGTGACGTTTCAGTGTAGATGCTAAAACCTTTATCAAGCAAGTGTGAGCATCTACACCGTAACGTTGCAGATGTTGTAATAAGGAAGTTGTATATCTGTGGAACTATCTCAGTTGTTCATCACACCAGCTCCTAAATGCCACTCAAAGAAGTTCAGATGTCTTCCCCTATGAGGCTCACAGGTCATTATATGAGTGAAATAATGTCTAAAACCGTGCTAAACCAAACTCTCATGGAAAAATGACTTCCCTCTGCCATAACAAGAGCCACATCTTTAAGATATATGCATATTCATATCTGTGCATTGTGTGTGTAAATGTGCGTGTAAATATGAAAATATTATCAATTGATATATATGAGAGACCGTTTTG